ACACACACAGACAACCCCGTGACAATATGCGTTTTGTACTGCTGTTGCACAGCACAAAACGCATAATTAACTCATGAAATGATGAACTTTTTGGGACGTGAAATGGCTTATCAAAGGGTCTTTTGAAGCAATACAAGTAATATGAGCACCTACCAACTTAGACATGGGCAACCTTTTACGACACGCGGGCCTGATTTACATACTTACTTAAACTCACGGGCCACTTTTTAATAAAACTCAATTAGCAACACACCAGGTCCCCCTGGTGCGATCATGTGTTTTTTCGCTAAATTTGACGCAGTCAGATCGTTTAGTAGTATTTTCCATCGCCTTTTAGCCTCATGCGTATTTTAGTTTTATTTATTTTCATGAGAGTGCAGAGGCGTGAAAGGAGTACATATCCTAAGTTCGTCTAGTTAGGCACCACATTCCGACCCCCTCAGCGGTCCAGATTAAAACCAGTTACGGGCCGGATCCATCCCGGAAGCCGTCAGTTGCCCATCCGTCCATTAACTCGTCGTTTTTGAGAGGTTTAAACGCGAAAGACACACGATAGATTGCATTGAGAAAGCTTCGGCTGCACGGATGGAAGTTCGGGTTATGAATTGTTAGCTGTCCAAGATATTAATCTAAGTTTAGATATTAACCTAAGAATCATGATTTTAAAATATTAACCTAAGAGTAATGATTTTAATCGTATGAAATCTGGAGGACAATGATTAATCGGGAAGAATCTGATCTCTTGCGGAAAGTTGAGAATTCAGTTTCTCTTGTAGGGTAAGGATTCCCGCACGACCATTACATCCATTCCTATGGTAAATTGGTACTGGCATATGCCAAGAAGTTAAACTCGCCATTCTTTTTTTTTTTTTTTTTAAATGATGTTTTTTGAAGCGCTAATTTCGAATTCTATTTCGGCCTGATTTATTAATATAGCATTGATAGCATGCTCAAATCATTTTCAGAAATATTTTCCAAAAAATGTCTTTTTTTTAAAAAAAAAAGGAAAAAAATTTCACCATTCCTAGACCACTATGAGCTATTTCACTAATTGGAAGGCTTTATTTACGGTTCAGGTTTTTCCAGGCAGACATGAGTACAAATTTTTGATCGACGGTAAATGGATGGTTGATGAAAATGTCGCTAAAACCGATAACAAATTTGGAAGCCAAAACAATGTGATTGCTATTGATGAGGCCGATTTTGAAGTAAGTCATTTCGAGAAGTGCATTTGTTTGCTGAGATGAGAATTCCGTTGGACTGTGACAGTGAGGTAAAGTAAATTTTTTTTTTTTGGGCGGGGGGGAGGGGAAAAGTGATGCAAAAAGCGTGAAAGAAGTATTGCTTCGGTAATAAAACGTTGGTAATTTTTTGTTTTTTGTTAAATATGACAATGTATGGCGGTATTTTGGTAATAAAATAACCGTTTGGGGAGAGATAGGGGAAGATGACGGGTGAAATAAGCAAACTTAGTTCCGAAGTAAGTACAACATAACGGAAGTGATGATAATTCACAGTGCACAGTTGTACAGTACTGACAAGGCGGCCTTATATAGACCATCACATGACCTACCTAGGAGGAAGTCATGATGCAACACTTTCTGCGCTTCTTTCCGCCATCTTTTTCTCAGTAAACGTGATACCCTGCATCTCATCCTCATACAGCAAGAGTGCTAATATTGCACTAAAATGTCAAGCAAGCTATTCGAAGTTATGGCGTAAATTGGCGCCTTTCCCTGTTGTCAGAATGGGAAGAAGTGCAAAGAGGGAAAAAATAGATTTATTCCGTGTATTTACGTGCAGTAATAGACTAATAATTGAATGCCCGGTTGGGCAGGAGAAGGAACAGACAATTAGTTCAAGATTAGACGTGATCGGGAACGGAGTGTGCAGTCGTGAAGGGGTAGCCGCGGAGCAATCGAGATGGTGTGGTGAAGGAGGCCGAGGGCCAAGACGATACTACGAAGAGAGCCGATGAGCAGTCAAGCACTGGAATATGAAGAAGGCCGAGGGCCAAGTCGATGTCGTGAAGAGGATGCCGGTGAGCGGTCGAGTACTGGAACGTGAAGAGCAAGGACGAGAATGAGAATGGAAGATACCGGGCTTTTACAGGGCCCGAGAAACACCTTATCGTCTTTCGGCGATCAGGCGTCAAGAATGCAGAAGATATTAAAAGCACGCTGAGAAAAATGAAACTTCGGGAAATATCGCCGGCGTTATAGTTGGCGATAAAAAGCATAGATAATATTTTCCATAAAAAATGCATAAAGTGCGTTTTACATAAAAAACACACACACTATATGAATCAAACACACACACTATACACAACATAAAAACCCAATATTAACATATATCACAAAAAAAAAAACATATTAAAATAAATATCGCCTCTCGGCGACAGAAGTCATCAGAAGATTTGTTTTTTGCTAAAAATATACTTTATGGGGATTAGTTGCTGCCAGTTAGGCATCTTCAGTCATTTACAAATTTAGGTGTTCGATGCACTTGATCGCGATTTGGCATCATCACATGCTGGCGAAGCGATGCGCAAAGTTAATGCTGCAGGAGCACCACCTTCTTCACATGACACTCCCAATGAGCGGGAGATCGAAAAGCTGAAAAATTTCACGCAGGAAGTACCGGATCGAAAAGAATTTGAAAAAGCACCAAATCCACCTGTTTTACCGCCCCATCTTTTGCAGGTTGCAATTTTTTATCTTATTTTTTTATTTTAGATGATTTTTGGTAAAAAACTCGTATTGCTGAATATACTGACATCCAAAAATGGCCACTGACAGAGCCATTGTCTAGCGCAGTACCATATTTAAGATATGCATATATTATGCCATAAAACAGCCCGAAAAAGTTTCGAGAATGACAGCGAATCACAACGTTTATGCCTATATTTAGAAGTCAACATAAAATGAGTTTCGAAAAATGTCCACCAGTTATCGTCGTTTTACTTTCAGGCGTGCACACACGCACACAGACTTAGAAATACAGACACAGACACACACACACACGCACACATAGTTTCGCTCTGTACAGAAGTGATACGAATTAGAACATTAATTCCATTCGCGGCTTTTTTTCCTTTTCAACCAAACGTACGGCATGTATTTATATCCTGTTTTGATGAACAAGTGAATCATATTGTATGTGATCCTATAATTACACCATTCCTAATACTTTGACCTACTTCCCTCCTCTTACTAACTTCTAACGATTCCACCAAATTCTAAATGTTTCTATATTATTCGCCTTCCCACTCACTAACTAACTTGCTCCCCGCCGCCTCTCCCTTCCCTCCATTAATCTTCCCTATATGAGCCCCTTCTAGATCGAAACCCTTAGTTTTTATGGAAATCGTCAGGTTCAACAGCGCCACTCGACCGTCACGTCCAACGCTGCTAGCGTCTCGCCTCCCCACCGCCGGCGTTCTTCTGTTGCACAGCTTGTGCGATGCCCCGGCTCATCGTTTTCCGCGTCGTCCCATTCGTCATTTGACGCGTCATCTTATTCGTCGTTTTCTCTCTGAAGTGAGGCGCTTATTGGAAGAATAAACTGCTGGTGTTACTCCCCTGTCTTTCGCTGCTGCAGTCAAGGAGTCGGTGCGCTGGGCAATTATTTAATTGCCAAGGAGTCTTTTTTTAGGAGCAGAAGGGGGTATGAGTGAAAGGGTCCCTTGCCTTATTATCTGTTTTTAAATTACTTTTAGCTGGTGTTATCACTGTAGTGGATTTGCCAGGTTTTTCCTTGCACTGTGTTTGCGCCATTTTGCAAATGGTTTGTTTTGAAAAACTTCTCCAAGAAAAGTAATAAGTCTGCTCACGCACACTGAAGCAAAACTTATGATTATGTTAACTCGATGTTAATACTTATCAAAGAATTAGTAAAGTCGTGATCTTGCTATATATATGATCTGAAAGCGTTTTTATGCGTTTTTTACATATATGCAAATGCAAAAACGCACATTGTGACAATCCTGGTGTGTGTGTATATGTGTGTGCGTGTGTGTTTGCGTCTGTGCGACTATTTCAACTCAGCACCCAAGCAAGCTCCGGCGCCAAAATTCTGCCAGTGGGTTCCCCAGCCAGGTGGCACCCCACGACCGCGGTACCAACCCCCACGCAGGTTTGGACCCCGCGCACCAGAGGGTGAAAGTTTTGACGGGAACCAGGAAAGCTAGAAGGCTGAAATTTTGCGCTTATTTTCCCCGTCCACATAGAACTCAGAGATTTCAAATTCAGATACGCGTGTTCGTCACCTACAGCCGTGTGGAAATTTTTGGCGGGAAATTGGCTATCTTGGAAATCAGAAGAGCTGGGAGGCTGAAATTTTTAGGGAATGTTCCCAGCACAAGTACAACTCAAAGTTGTCAAAGGTTCAAGCCAGGCATGCGTGTTTTTCACGTACAGCCGAGAAAACTGTTAACTCGAAAATTTTTGGCGAGAAAATTGCTAACTCGAGGATCGGGAAAGAGCTGAAAGCTGAAACACTGAGGGGATATTCCCTGACCAAGTACCATCTAGTTGCACAATCAACTTCCTGAACCTCGAGAACCAGTATGCCGTAAATTCTAGTTATTGGGACTCGAAGCGATCTTACAACAGCACGAAATACTAAAAAAAACGTATGATCGCTAGCCCGGTGCGCGTCGCCAATGATTTATTTCATGCTGAAGAATTCGCATGAATTTTTAAAGAGTGCAGTATGCTGCAGGTAATTCTAAACAAGGATACCCCGGTACAGTGTGATCCGAATGTGCTGCCCGAGCCGAACCATGTAATGTTGAATCATCTCTATGCGCTTTCGATCAAAGATGGCGTTATGGTGCTGTCGGCAACACATCGTTATCGTAAAAAATACGTGACCACACTTCTGTATAAGCCAATTTGATTGTTATAGCAAAAAAACTCGTGATTACACAGCTCCCGGTAAACCACGATTTCTCCCTGTCTGTGGTTTTTTCATATTTTCATTGTTGTCTTCATTATTTCTACTGTAATTTGCTACTCTACTATCCTCTTGCTTTAATTTTTTTTCAGTTCAAATTCTTATTTTCTTTGCAAATTTTTCGCTTTTGCTGGCGGATTTAGCACAGCTGCTGCTCTCTTATGCTGAACGGAAGAAGAGAGGAGGGGAGAGGGGGGTCGAAAATTTTTTTGCGTGCACTGAGATAACCAATTCCCTGTGATTTTTCTTTTTTTCCTTTTTTTGTGTTTCGATGGTAAATTGGCATAGTTGTGAAGTCGAAATTTTACTCGAATGTTCATCCACATCACACTGCTTGTGTAATAATTATCATTTATCGTGATTTGTACTTGGAGCAGCAATAAGTCGTAGTTAGGGGTTCTTCATGTATGTAGTTGGTAGGTTTTTGCAGTTGCTTTGACCAGTTATTTGCATCGCATCGCCTCGTGGCCCAGGCAAGCTTGCTGGTGATCTTAACGCTCGTTTCGTCTGCTGAAATGTTGTTCTTGCGAGAATAGTACATGGTAAAGCTTTGGCTGTTGGAGATAGTCTTGTTTTTGTACTGGGTACCATGACCTTGTATCTTACTAGACAACGGTGAGGTTATTATCAGCCAGGAATTACCCGGAAATATCCTATGTAAAAAGTAAATTGATTTTGTTTTTTTTTTCGTTTTGACGGGCAAATATTTTTGTATAGCCTGTGAATTGAAATTATTTGTGAATCATGTAATATTTATATAAATTAAACGATTCTGCTCTCGCATTTTATCGTTGTGCAGTAATAATACTTATTTGGAACTGACATATATGTACGTATATGTATTACCTGTGTAGTACTGCACAGTGGACAGAATCCACTGCAAAAAAAAAGAAGTTATTTTGTATTCATGTAACTGCTAAAGTGAACAGTAACAAAAAACTCTACGCATTTGAAGCTCTTTTGCCTTCTATAATAAATAAATGGTCAACTTCGTCTTCGACCTTTGAAATTCGAAATAAAAACGTCAACTTCGACCCGAAATCGCGTCTTGATACCCAACTTCGGCCCCACACACACCTAGCATCACACACACACAAACACACACACACACACCACTCGCATTCGTTCAAATCAACGACCAAATAGACACCCTGGGCCCGTATGAAACGCACGTCTTGCCACTTAGCGCTGTGTCACTCAAACATACATCTATAAATACATATATGCATACACATATATGTGCACACACTCACATACATGTACACAAGCATAAGCATACATAAACACAAATACATACACAAGCGCACACACATACACACACACGCGCACATGCATGCAGACACGCTTAAAATCACAAATGCATATTTGTTTAAATAACATGCTAAACTTGACGAAATTTGCCTTGTTAGCTGTTTTAATGTTGTGCGTGATTCATCGCGATTACGTCACACCGATGAAACCAAACATTTACTGTGGCAGGCAGGAAATCGCAATATAATCCGCATGATTTTTAACCGAGCAAGTCGGGACGAGGTTTGCCCAAATTATATGACGGACTTTCCAGACATCTAATCCTTTTCAGTATCCTGAGTTCATTGTTATTATAATTCCTGGCCCCTGATAGCTTATAAAACAGCGCCAGACACGCTCGGCTTCGACAAGAGGAATAGCTCAAAATCGATTCCGCCGTCTAAAGTTTCATCCATTTGCTAAAGCTGCGTGCCTGGGATACCTCAGGCAGCTCTTGGTTCTCGAACTGTGCAGCTGGCAACTCTTTCATTTGCTTTGACCCGTACTGCACCGCCTTATGCGAACAAGAAGTGACATTGCGTCTTCGTTTATTAATTCAGCTCAATTAAAGACTGTAATCAGTTCGCAACGTTTTTGATCGCAAAAAGAAATTCCCTCCAACTAGTGGTTTAAAATGCCAAGCATCAAGAGACTGGCGAGCTCATGAGCATCCAGACTGCGGGCGACCAGTACGCATTAATACACACGGGGATCCATCGCGATATACTCGGACAGGTCGAGCGCATGACAATTATCGTACGTTTCTGAGGATAATCGGATCCTCCGTCTTCACGTTCGAACGCGAATTGCTTACCACTGCAACACTGACCCTTATGTTGCAGGGCTAGCTAGAAGAACTCTTTTTTTTTTTTTGAATCCGCTTCTTCTAAGACAGTAAACATCTGGTGGCACTTCCTGTGCCGAATTTTCGTTTTCGAGTTACAACTACATCCGTTTCGGAGCTGAATTTTTGTTGCTTTTACAAAGCAAATTGTTTTTCTGATTTTAGGTAAAACACTGATTAGCAGAATGCTGAATCCTGTGGTTATTATTCTCGGAATGCTGGTTACAGTATACGGCAATGATACGGTAAGCAATTGATACAACTCAAGTTTACTTTTCCTTGAGAAAACTGAGCACAGGGCAAAACGAATGCTGTAGTTTTGTTTTCTCAGCGAAATTTTAGAATCAAATCAGTTGAATGTTTTAAAAATTCCTGTCGCCCGTTTCCACACGACTTAGAATTTTCATTGTTCTTCTCTTGCTACTGTTTCTGCTAATTTTGCACTAAATGGCAAGCAAATTCTCACTGCTTGGGAAGAAAATAAGCCAAAAGGCCGAAACAACCACCGGAAAGAGAGAAATAACAACTCCATCATTTGATTTCCAAAACGGTGTAAGCACACTCCCTGGCTGTTAGCGGGAAAAATAAGAAGAGCCAGTCAGGCGAATTGACCATGAGTCCCCCTGCCAGGCGCGGTTGGAGGACGAAATACCAAAATTTAATATCGAATGCTGCGATCTGCATAAGAAACAAGCTTGTGCGCTTGATTTCGTATTTTAAGACACCAAAGGTCCTGAAAGTTCGTTCTACAATTGCATATTTGCAAAGGCTACGATCCTAAAATTTCAGCTTCCTAGCTTCCATAATTTTGAATGGACAGTCAGATCAAAACATACAGATATGGTCTCAACATTATAAATGTGTTTCTATGTTAGCAAATGGCGGCGTGCACAGGAAACAGACCCGAGCAATAGCCTTTACTGTAATGCTTGTTTTCCTGAACTTTTTGTACACCCTTCCGTGTATTTTGATACAAAATGTTTCTGGAACTGTGCTCGGAATAGGGCAAGCATCCAAAGTTGTTAATGTATTTGCTCTTATAACGATTCCAACATTTCTTTACTGTGCTGCAAAAAGAAAGAATCCGTTTACCAAGTTTTTCCAAATGTTTAAGCTTTTCAAGTGATAAGCTAACAGTCTCATTCCAGGATGTCCACTCAGTGAATATGCTCGACAGAAGTCTTGTAAAAATAGAACTGGAAGCAAACACAGCTCCCTCTACAGCAACAGAATTAAAACATCAAGAATATTCGGAAGCGGCAGTTAAATCTGAAGACATCCTTGATATCAAGAAGGAAAGCGAGAGGCACTGCCAGTTGGAAGTCAAGACTGAGGCGTTGTCGGACATCGAGGAAGAATATCCAGAACATTT